TGGTATAGTAGGTCAAAAGCTCCTGTCTAAGGAGAGGCTTATGTCCAGCAGTGGACTGTTATAGGATGTTGATGATGATAAATTTTGATCAAAAATGTAACATACCTAAATAATTACTTACTTGGTTGACATGACAACCGAATGTACAGAAAATATATTAATAACCAAATAGGTGTTCTGTTCCAAAAATAAAGAAGAATCACATTAAAAAAAACGAATGTATGATAATTTTATACCATTTAGTTTTTGAAAAAAATAATGAATCGTTGGTTGCCACCTAAATAGCTTAACTGGTTTTGAGCGTAATAAAAAAAAACGTGACTTGTAAAATAGTTAAATACGAGTTAGGGTTGTCTCGCAAACCATATCATATGTATAATAATAATAATATTTATTGTACAAATACAATTACTAATTGCACAATTAGTATAAGTTACATATTAAACATGAAATAGCCTCCGTTACCAAACTAGGTAAAAAACCTGTATTTCGGCTTACGGCGCCATTTCCCAAGGGAATTTTAAGTTAACTATCATTGACAGATTATGTTCATTACATAAAGTAGTTAAAATAATTTTATAGTATATACATCAAGAATAAATGAAATGTGAAGGAGGACAGGACAGGAGGACTTGCTTCGAGGACGCTTTTCACGAACTTTTGCTAAGACTCTGGGCAAGCAAGTGTTGACGTACCAATCTGCAGTCACTGTCCTTTCTTTCTTCAATTGATATTGTAGTGTTTTTACCAATGCTTGGACTTTTCTTAAATTCCGTCGGCAAATCTTCAAAAGGAAAGACCCACTCTGCCAACTGGCTTTTTCATTTGAGTCCAAAGCAGTACACCCAGGTTTCGTCACCTGTCACGATATTATAGAGAACCAATGACTGTCCTCCGTTAAACTTTTTTATCATTTTATGGCAACACTGGACACGCAGTCCTTTCTAGTCCTCCGTGAAGACATGGGGTATCCATCGAGTGCAAAGCTTGTGAACAGCGACACAAAATTTTCGATAGGACGTGACAATGAAAAAACAAATGACAGTCTCGCAAATTAAAAAGTAACATGTTCCCAAAGAGTTCCATTTTAGAATTCCATGTGGCTCCAGAAACTTTCAGTATGACCCACGTATTTTATTCCTAGTGCGGAAGTTGTCTTTTGAAAAGAGAAGAAAGAAAGAGAAGAAAAGAGCCTGGCCCATTTATGTCGAAGCATGGTTGTTCCACATAATAGCATGTGATATCCCTTTAGATATTTTTTTATAAAATGGCTATTAAACTTTTTCAATAGCAAACTATGTCCAACTCGACCTTGACCGTCTACCGAACAAGTAAAATACCAGGGCTTGTCCTTTTACGCTTCGACACACCTAAGTTTATCCATGATGCAAATTTAAGCTGTGACTACAATAATATTTCTTCGCTTGCGTAAAAACTTTTTCGTCAAATTCGAGCTTTTTTCTGGATGAAAGATACACTGTCTTTTGCTGAATCAGCATCATAAAATTTTGCACCGTATATGAAAAAGTTAATCGGGTGTGTAAGTACCCCAGCGCACATGATACAAAGAAGCACACATTGATTTATATAGACATTTAAGATTTGTGGTTATGAACAAAGAAACGTTACATTCCTATATATATATAAATTTATCAAGGAGATTTATAATTTTTTCGCAAAATTGAGCAAAACTAATAAAAAAAAAAACTATTTTCTCTTTGCATTAAGTGGCAACCATAGGGTTCAATGTTTTTGTAAAACTTATTTAGATTCTTAACATACCTACTATTTTTATTCAAAATTAAATTCGTGTTTTTATAAATTCAAGTGTGGCTGACACGCTACTCGGTGTTAATAATATTCAGTTTAAATTATTTGATTGTTCAGAATGGAAATAGTTCAAAATTGTGGTATGGTCTTCTTGCCTGTGTTGAATACTGTACAGGGTTACTGGTTAAGTCAACCTAGATGGATAGAGACTTTAGAGGGATGTAGAAGAGATAGATTGCACTGTGAAATACCATTTTCAAAATACTGGACTTTCAAATTTTTTTAAAATTAAAAATCGAAATTTTGCCTACCACATTGTCTTTATAACTTGTACCACATTTTTTTTTTACTGTCTTGGTGTCGTTGATACATTGTTTTATAATTTCCATTACCAAAATTGTAGTTATTTTAACAAAATGGGCCGAAGTAGATGGTTAATAATGGCAAATTGAAATTTGTAAAAAAAATATTTTTTTAGAGCAATATTTAAAAAAAAGTCGTAATGTACGTATTGTATAGTATACATGTCAGCTATATACAAGGCCCAATAGTCCAGGATAGTATCCAAATTCATAGAAGAAAACTTAGATAAATGACTGGGAGTATTAGGAATTATCATCAAGGTACAATTTCTCATAAAACTCAAGCATATACCTAATTATAGATTTTGGAAACTGAATTTCGGGCAAATCTCGGAAAAAAATCTATATCTATAATATGTACCTAAAATGTGTAAGAAACGTTCAGTGGGCGAGTCCGACTCGCACTTGTCTGGATTTTTTTTTCGATACAGGGGACAAAAGATGATGGTAAGTGACTACCGCCGCCTATTGACATCCACATCTCAGGAGTTACACGCGTCGCCTCCATTTGTGGTGGGGGTACGCTCTTTTCTTGAAGGTTTGGAGGACGTATCAGTCCAGAAATACCGCAAGCGAAAACTCATTCCACCGATTGTTTCCCTATTTAAATAAAAGTAGACACAAAACTTTATATAATTTGAAGCGAGCGAAGTTAATCCATAAAGGCTGCTGGTCCACGACGCGATTATAGTCGGTTGCGATCAAGGTCGGTCCGTACCGCGGTCGTAGTAGTCATGGCGAACCGTGGTTTGTTCGTTGAGCGATCAAGGCTGATCAGCGAATATAACCACACGTCTTATCATACTTATACGAAGAGGTTTGAGGTAGGTTCCATATAAAGGACCGTTAAACAGCCGCCTCACACAAAAACTTGTTTGATACAAGTTTTTATACTGTGTTGTTTTAATTCCTCATACTTTTGTGACTCTAGTTTTTTTTTCTAAGTTCTATCGGGTTGTGACTTATTGTGAATATGCGAAGTAAAGTCCATATTTTTTTAACGTTTTTATTATATTATTCACTGAAGTTTTTTTTTCCTTTAATTTTATGTTTATTCACTAAGCTGACCACGCTTTGCTGCGCCTGCGGCTCGAAATTTTTAATCATCTTGCTTTGGCAACTTGTGCGAACAGTATTGTCAGGTCGAAATTTGTATGAAATAATGATATATCAGATATCAGTCCCCGCCAGATGGGCTAGCGGCCTGAAGAAGGAAGCCGGAGTGGACTAGATTGAGAAGACGGTGTACTCTGACGCACATTGGGTGAGGCCTGTGATCAGCAGCGGAGGGCTATAAGTTAATTGATTCATTGGATAAGTATGACGTCATATTATTACCGATTCTTTAGTTAAAAAACTAGAAAACAATAACGCATACAGTTTTTCATTACTTATCTTATTTCATACTTAATTATATTTTAACAAATTATTATATTAACAATTTACTTTAGCCATAAGAAACTTATTAACATAACTATGAATAATAAAAAAAATGTAATTCAACCAAAAATTCATAGAACATTCTGTATCAAAGCAAATATTGTTAAAACACTGGTTTTAGACGCCATTTTTCGATTATGTATGTGCGAGAGCCAAAAACTGGTAAAGTTAAAATTAAGCAAAATCACATTGAGATTAATAAATTACTCATTTGCAAATCTTTTGGGTAATCTTAAATTATACCATCAACTAACTATACCAGTGAGGTCAGACTTCGTGAGGGTTTCTACAACCAGAAATTATAATACTTAGTAGAGCTTTGTCTACGTTTCTTAAAAGGAATAAATTTCCCCCGTTTTTGCAACATTGATTTTCGGCTCCTATTGGTCGTAGCGTGATGTTATACAGCCTATAGACTGCATCGATAAATCGGCTATCCAACACTATAAGAATTTTTCAATTCGAACCCGTAGTTCTGAGATTAACGCATTCAAACAAACAAAGTCTTCAGCTTTGTAATATGAGTATAAGATAATTAAATCGCAGTGGAATCGATATCCATACTAATTTTATGAATGGAGAAAGTGTGTCTGTCTGTCTATCTATCTGCCTGTCTGTCACCTCTTCACGCTTAAACCGCTGAATCGATTTAGACGAAATTTAGTTTGGAAATAGTTCGGGTCCTGAGAAAGGACATATGACAGTTTTTACAACAGAAATCATCCTTTAAGGGGGTGATAAGTGGGTAGAAGTTTCTATGGGAAATCAATGAACCGATTTAGATAAAATTTGGTATGGAGATAGTTTGATTTTTGAGCTAAGTCTAGTTGAAAATAAAACAATTCAAACTATGGAGACTTTTGGAGTCGCGGTTTTTGCGGTTACGCATCACGCGGGTTTCTTTTATCTATTATATTCTATATCTATTTTATAATTATTTTTAGTTTTTACCATTTATGAAAATTGTTTTCTACCATGTTGACCTGTCAGGGTACAGAACGTACAGAATACCTCGATTTGTTAAAAGAGATGCTCGTAGTTAAGTGGTAACCGAGTAGATTAGCACATTGCAAAGTTAAACGATCAAAGCCTGACCTGAGAGGTGACCATTCATAGCACATTGAGACCCCTCCGTGCCTCGAAGCCGTTAAACCTTCGTCCCGGTTGCCATACGAACATCTGTGGCAATCGTTACAGGTAGCCTTAAATAGTAAGCCAACAGTCTTTCTACAGAACTTCCATATCGCCAGTACTTGGGCTGTGGAGGTCTGATAGCAGTCTCTCCATGTGAAAATTTGAAGTATAACCGTGTCGTAATAGACTGGAAGCGGACCCCCAACCTAGTTTGGGAAAAAAGCTCAGAGAATGAGGATGAACAGCTCGATTTGTTACAAATAATGTCAATGAATTGTCAAAAAAATTACTCACCTTTTTCCAATAGCTGAGCGAACATATTTTGCACATTCGAGTGATGATGCTTCCACCTGAGGCAGTACTGTTGGGGCATCATTCTTATAACCTAACTAATATAATCCAATAAATATTAATACAAGGCTTTGGTCTTAGGAAGGCAGGAAATTTTTCCAAGTTTGGTAGAAAAATCTCGAATTTGGTAGTTTTTCTTGTGCAATTTGTAGATTTTTATTTTAGTAGCAAATTTTCGAGTTTGGTAGAAAAATTTGGTCGATAGGTTCTATTTAGATAATATATCTCTATGCTAAATAATTTCAGGTTAGGTACTCTGGGTTTCTATAATTCGTGGAATGTAGTCCTATGGTGGGATTCAGTTGTACCTGGAACAAAACGGTAGATTTATTATTTATTGGTAATTTAACACAACGACACTCAAAAAAGGGTGCAATTATTAGCGTTAAGTCTTCGTAAGTTATGTTACTTTTATGACCTTTCACTTTGGTCATCAGAGTCATCTCAGCTCTGTTGTTTTTTTAGTGTCTTGCTCTTTTTTATCATTTTTATTTTGTATCCTATTACGGGTCAAAGTATTAATTTAAGTGCACTGTAAATGTGCCAATTCAATAAAGATTATCGTTGTTTAAGTTTAAATTCCAAATAAAATGAGATAAGAGGAGAAAAGACCACCAACGTGGTAGTACATTAGATATAATAATAATAATTACGGACATCTGACACAGTTTCAAACTAAGCATAGCTTCTACTATGAAAGCCAGATTGTCTGATATAACTAATATACATAAATTTACTACTACAAATTATATTTACATAGAAGGCCATAAGTATACTCAATATATGAATACACATGCTTAATATAATATAATATAATATAATTAAATTCAAGTTATTAAGGTGTCTTTCTGAACAAAGTAAATTTTCTGTGAAGCTTCTCCCTAAAACGTATTTTTTTATCAATGATGATACTTTTATGATGTATTTTGCTGTATGGTTCCATTAGAAAAAATATTTTAGTGTGTTGGTAGACCGTTTAAGGATTCCTCCTTAAATGGTCTATCAACACACTAAAAGAAGACAAGGGGCGGGTTGCCTCTGACTCTAAAAGTGGTTTAGAAATGTCAGATATACGACATAAAACTTAAAAAAATCTTATATTGGATGGATCCTAAACGGAGAAGTTGCCCTTACCACACTTTCTGTAATAGCAATAGTTTTCATAACGTTGACAAAACGTTTCCATAAATAATTCGTATTGTCATGTTCAAACAAGTTGGTGTTATGTTGTCATACTGCTATAGGCTATAATATAACACAGTGTGGGAATCAAAATTAACGTGCTCACGATAGGTATTAACGACATTGCTTTGAAATGCCTGACTTTAGGCAGGCTTTATGACTGAAATAGGTTGAACTGGCAGTGTTCATAGGCTGTCAGTCAGCCCGTAAATATAATTCATCACACATCATCAACAGCATTTAGTAGTCCACTGCTAGACATAGGCCTCTCCTTCAGACCCGTCTCTAATCTATTGGAGGCCCTGAGCAAATTAGCATAATGGGGCCCCTACGAACTTAGCTGAGCACTATTTTGTTAGAATGGACAAAAAAGTATTGTAGTCGGTCATTACAAATGAATTTTACGAAATAATTATTGATTTTCGATTGGTGATCTGGCAGGAATTGGGCCCCTATCGATCGAGGGGCCCTTGGCAGGTGCCCAGAGTGCCCAGTGGGAAAGAGGGACCTTTTCTCCTTAGAAAGTAGTTTTTGGCCTACTATTCCATGCTGGTTAGACGGGTTAGTAAAGGGTTTGTGTCAAGTTTGCCTTCTCTTTGCAGTGCTGTAGTTTGCCTCCTTAGTCGGCTCTTAGGACACCTGCGGGATGAATGGGGTCACACGGAGTCAATGTAATAGCCTCAATTGTGTCCCTCACATAGTAGGTATTATATTATGCATCCAAGTTGGTATTTTTCCATAATGGTAACATGTTCGTCTCTGTTTATTACACGCATGCATAACCTGTTGGCTACTTAGACGTGGAAAAATTTCGGAATTTCTCGTTCGGCCCATTTTCTAGCGTCTACAACGGTATGCCGACTTTTGTACGTCTATTGAAACAGATACAGTCAATTTAATGATGTTTACGATTGACTAAATATTAAATTTTGTGTTTTAAATTTCTTTAAGAACTATGTTAAAAACAATTGTAGTAATATTTCAGCATTCAGACGAGTTTGGTAGCCATTTACGTTTAATTATGTTATTACTAATATTATGAATGCGTAAGTGTGTCTTCTTGTTTGTTTGTTATCTCTTCACGCTTAAATCGCTGAACCAATTTAGATGAAATTTAGTATAGAGATGGTTTGAGTCCCGTGAAAGGACAAAGGATAGTTTTTATCCCAGAAATCATTCTTTAGGGGGTGAAAAGGAGGATGGAAGTTTGTATGGGATATCAATAACCGCTGAACCGATCCAGATGAAATTTGGAATGAAGATAGTTTGACATACACGGGCGGAGCCGCGGGAAAAAAGCTATTATATACATAAAATACACACACTCACGCCTTTATCTCTGAAGGGGTAGATAGAAGCGTATTAATTACCCACATTTTGCCGACTATATTGTTAAATCCACTAACGTAATAGGGATAAAACCTCCTTTCTAAGGAGAGGAACATGCCCCGCACTGGACTATTAAAGGCTGTTGATGATGAAGATGATGATATTTCTAAATATATACATTATTATAAATAAATTACACTCAAATACAGAACAAATGATTGCAATTATACACACATGTATGTGTCCTGGGTGATATGCGAAGTGCGAATACAAATGAACTTGTAGTTCATTTGTATCACCTTCAATGTCGCACAATATTCGACTAATATCCGCTGTTGTATTTGTTTATATTCGCACCGAAGACCAAGACTTGAATGGACTGACCACAATTTGTGCTATACAAAGCAAAAATCCTGATATTGAAAACATATTTTTTTTTTTTATGAATTGAATCTCCAACAAGAAATACACCTTACATGCTAGTTATAAAGCCAATAAAATTTTAAGTCTTGTGCTTCCTCAATTATAGGAGACCACAACATGGACATTACAAAAAATATTGACAAATATTACTCTCATAATATACATTTTAAATACAAATTATTCTTTCTCACAAAACACAAGAATTTTTCAAACAGCATCAGTTATACATCATCGTTCCTCCTGACAAAACTTTCATCCCCATCCCTTGGATAATTGACACTCCACAACCGTGCAATTTACAAGAAACTTTTTACCATGCATAACCTATCCTGTACAATATATCATGGGAATTTACAAACATTAATTCAAAAGAATGCCATTCCATTCGTGAATCACACAAAGTGTTGTCCCAAATGGTAATCATACCCACAACACTCAGCGTAGTACGAAGCGGCGAGGTAACCGTTTCAACCACTACGCCATGCTTTCAGTCAATATTTGGAAAAATACGACATCCAAACCTTAAAAATAACCCGGAACTTACGACTCTTTAGTAGCAGGTGACCATGAGCGATTGTCCCTTACTATCATGTGATTTGTCTGCTATGCCCCTATATAATAAAACCAAAAACCTAACGGACAACAGTGATGTTTGATGGCAAACTTATAAAACAGCAATATAATGATATCATAAATTTTGGTGTAACTAAGGCGTACGCATACGCTTGGCTTGCGAGAAGATTTATATTGGGAAGTGGTAACGTGTTCGTGTGTGGTCGTACTTAACGTACAGAGTGTCGTAAGAGCTGACTGGGGCTTTGGAGGCAAACTACGCAGAACAACAGCACTGCAAAGAGAAAGACTGCACAGATTGCGTAGTGGTTGAAGCGGTCGCCACGCCGCTTACTACTACGCTTAGTATTCTGGCTCCGATCCCCACATAGGACGACACTTTGTGCGATCCACAAATTGTTGTTCTGAGTCTGGATGTTCTTTGTGTCCGTTACATTTATGTTTGGAAAGTCCCCCGCGACACAGGATATATTCCTAATGCGGGAGTTATCTATAAAAAAAAGAATACTTGAAAAAAAAACTGTAAGAACCCGTCTGGCCAGCGTGGTATAGTAGACCAAAACCTATTTTCTAGTGAGAGGCCTATGTCCAGCAGTGGATTACTAACGGCTGTTGATGATAATAATGAAACATGTTATAGGTAACTTGTATAAAGAATTCATATTGAACGGAAACTTGTCGATGTTGAGCGTGAGACATACAATATTATTCCTTATCAAAAGTAGACATAAGTCGTAAACTTCCTTTGAAGTACAAAACCAAATTTACAAAAGATAAAGAATAGATAAGGGTCCTGTTATTTGTTAACCTAGTTGTATTTTTATTTTTGTTACCTCAGAACTCCGTCATCGTGAGGCTTTCATATTTCAGTGTATATTTGTAATATCATAATAATAGCATTTTACTAATAGTATCCGAATGTTTTTTTTTGCTATCTATACCAAAACATATTTTTTAAGGTTCCGCACCTCAAAAGGTAAAAACGAAACCCTTATTGGATCACTTTGTTTCCGAAACGCGTGGAGGTATCGAGTTGAAAATAAAACGATGATACACTCAGGTCTACAGTCTCTTGAACCTGTGAAAAAAATCTAACTTATAAGTTAACGTTAAAAAAGGTACGGCCGTTAATGCCGCCAAAAACGTATATTTCGACGCTCTCAAGGGAATCAAAATTGTATTGGGTATTGGCCGTAGACCTAGAAATATGAAATTTGGCAAGTAATACTACCAACTTATACTATAAGTATAGGGATAAATCTGAAAACTATTGTGTACCTACAAATTTGTACGGAACCCTCGGAGAGCGAGTCCGACTCGTACTTGTCCGGTTTTTTCGTTTGTCTGATTGTTGTTTGTGTTCATCTCTGGAACTGGAATCGATTTCTATGGTACTGCCACTGATAAATAGCGAATGTTAAACGAGGTAACTTAGGGTAAATTGAAATTTAAGCAGCCTTTCGAATGATTTGCGAGTCACAAAGAACACCAAACATACACTTAGAAACTTTTGAC